CTTTAACGAGATATATTTCATGAAATGCGAGAACTACACGGACAATAATGAAATGTTATACTGGACGACAGCGTTCACCCCTTGAACTGGATCGCCATATTGAGGCCGCGACCCAAATCGAGACAACACATGCAAAGCAAAGACTTAAAAAAATAACCTATCGCGGTGGAATTGCGTCAACGCAGCTTGTGAAATACTGTCCACTTACATGATATACAAATGGACGCGGAACGCAAAAAATCTGAGACAAACTTCAAAAGTTAACGTACAAAATCCCATAGGGTTGTCTATGGGGCGTGGCAAACTCGCAAACGGAACGGGACTAAAATCGGGCGAGGACCATTATTAGTCGACTATTATAATGGTCGAGTTGTGACGTAACTTACGCCTGCGCATTAATAACGACGTACATGAACGCCTTAACGATGGTCAAAACGTCATCAGGAAACTGCTTGGTCCTGGGTCCCTGCTGTACTTTGATAATGCGCACGGCTATTGGCAACCAGCGATGGAACCGTGCCCTGCGGTCCGATTCCAGATACACGTATAGTCGACTCAAGCCTGGTCAAGCCGTCCTTCGTTCGGGTGAAGTTAGTCACTATGGTAAATTATAGTTCGCGCCCGAACATGCATGCTCTGGTATGCAGTGCAACCAAATTTCACTGAATCCAGACCTATGGATACTTTTGAGACGCTAATGTTCGCATGTTCGAAAAATGACGCAAACAATAGAAAAGGACCAGAAAGTTTGCTGCCACCAAGCGTCTCAAAAGAGTCCCATTTTTAAATTGGCACTATGACCAGAGGCCATATTTTTTCAACGAATGAGGGCGCTTTAGCAGCTGGGTACAAACACTATTGAAAATTCGTGTTACTTAAAGCAGTTAAGTACTTTTACTAAAATTTAAAAACAAAATAAACGTTCTTAAAAATGAATAATGTAAGTAAACTTAAATGTCATCAATATCATCGAATAAACTTGTGCTTATACCCCGGCCCCGAAATGGCGTCGTTAACTATAGCGCTGCTTTTGTTCAGGAATATGGCATATAGATAGATAACTTAACTTATATCCATCCAATGAATTTTATTCCAGCTTCGCAGAGCACCGCCATAACTTAATGGGTCACGGAATCGGACCCACGATCGGCAAATTTCCGTCATTTACTCAGACTGTGTTGGTTTTTGCTTCACGAGGCAATCGGCTAATGGTGTACGGCAAACACCCTGCAGTGTATAACCAACAGGAGATTGTAATATTTTGTGGCTTAAAGGTAACGTGTTAAAAGCCTAATCGTGATCACAAAATCGGTACCAAAGAGGTGCAAATAAAGTCACCGTGTTTCCGTGCACCACACGTGCACCTGTCTAGATGTGCAATGCGATTACTATTCATAAAAGGACCACATCCAATCATTGATAAGGATATCAATTGACATCTGTCAACTGTAGTCACACGGTGTATCTTCATTATCACAAGGATTTTGTGGTTATGTTTCTTTCCTCATTAACCAAAGTGTTCAGTGACATAATTCAAAGATGTCTGCGAAGATTACAGATTTTTGTGAGAAAGCACTGGTCCTCGTCACGGTGGTGATGCTCTTCTGTCTAGTCTTTCATGTCGTGTAGGCCTACTATGTTATCTTACCTTTGGCACTTACTGAAGAGATAAATCTGCCTCACGACAGCATTTTCCAGTAGGCTCAGTGCATATTTTATATGATTCTGACTCCCTAATCCTAACGTGATAGGTCGGGAGCAAAATCCTTTTCGCTGCATGCACGTAAGTATTGGGTTTCGGGGGAAATTATCAAAGAACCATCTTTGCAGCGAGTTCCTCTTGAAACATTTCTTTCCACGATGCGTTTGCTCCTTTAAGACCACTCTGAGTACCATCCATTCCATCATGCAAAAAATGTCCTGCAGGCTTTAATAATACAATACACACAGTTCATCTCTGATAGTACTTCGCCCTACTGGGAATCAAAGAAGCTTCACACGTCTTGCTACAGACATTGTAATTCCATACACCAAGTCTAAAAGATTGTCACTTCATAAATCTCCTGTTTTCCGCTCACACCTATTCTCTGGGGACCTTTGTCAGCAAAAAACACCTTTTTCCGCCAGACTGCGCATATTCTTGGTAGTCTAGGCATCAAATTTCTTTCAATTTTCTGTGTTTTTTGTTGTTGTTTCTTCTAGCTCTCGTAAGATATTTAAATTAATGCATGTAGGGTTAAGGCACTGTTCTTTTCACCCTATTGGTAATTCGTATTGGCGTTGCGATGATGAATCGCGTTTACCAGTTGAGTGACCATGCAAATCAAGCCATGGATAAGTAAGTAGACGAACATCATTCGTGCACTGCACTTTATAATCGATTGACGTGTCTGGATAAACTGAAGTTTTAGATGATCGATGAGTGAATAGCCTTAACAGCTTGTCTGCCAGGGCAGTGCATGAGAAGTAGGTACACTGAAAAACTGCAGTGTTAAATTTACACCATTGGTGTCTATATAGGACCATCTGGTGTTAAATTTTACTGGTGTTGTCCTATATAGATACCGAATGGTGTTAAATTAACACTACAGTGTTTGCAGTGTATCTTTAATCTCCGACTGTGAACGATTGCAGTCTGATCATATAGTTTATTAACATCGTTGTACTTTATGACCGACTTTTCTCAGTCAAGGAACAGTCCACCACCAGGCAATTGAGGTATTTCACGTGCCGTCACAGGTCAGTGGTGCACCCACACGCCCGCCGGCCATATTGGGCGTCCCCGGTTGCAGACCAGTAGGCCCTAAATAAACTGCCATAGACCCTGGCGATGAAAACGCCCACTTCTGAAATTCACAGAGGACAAATACTCACAACGACTTTCCAAGGTGTTTGAGACACACATTAAATTAACGCTTTTCATCATCAGTTTCATTTTCTGTTAATTTTTTTGGGGGTTAACCTATTTTTGGAGAAATCCAAAGATGATCAATGCCATTAATCATAATGCAATGTACACATTAATAAGATCAATCGATTGAGTGTCGCGCTAGACGTCCAAAATGGCGGACAAGGTCACGTGTATGTAAACCTCAATAGGCCATATTTGAGCAAATGAGGGCGCTGTTACGACTACATCTACAAACACTGGAAATGTTTTTTTTTTCAATATTTATTACTTTACTTCAATCTAAATATTAAAGACTGTAAGATATAACTTTTGAAATGTAGCGCCAACATGTTCATCTGATCTTACGTCAAAAGCATTGGATGCACGACTGATTATACCCCGAAAGGCGTCTTTATAGCGCCCTCACTCGTTCAAGAATGAGCCTATTTTTATTTGAGAGTCCGAGTTTTTGTAATATGTTGCTTAATATACGCATTGTTAGGCCTAAGAAACTCGCGGGGAAAAGTTTTAATGTTGATATGGAAGGAAAAGAGTGGGAAGTGTTCTGAGGGTTGCTCAAGTTGAGCTTATCAGAGGAATCACGGTAGGTTGAACCATGCATAAATACGCATACGATCAGTACTTTAAAGAATGCTGTCGAAGAGACCTCGTGTCAATCAAACACTTATCGTCCTTTCTATATTCAGTGCGTACACTCTAAAAAAAAAAAAAAAAAAAAAAAAAAAAAAGGGGGAAAAAACAACATTTGTCAGATTTGACTAGAAACCAGTTAAATTTGACTAGCCATTAAGGGTCAGCTGGGTGCAACTGAAAATCAGTCAATCTGACTAGATTTTTCCAGTCAGTATTGAAAAATAGTTCTGCAAATAACTGGAGTTCCAACTACTTTGTCTAGTCAAAGTATGAAACTTTGCACGTTTGACTAAATTCCTAGTCATTTTTTCACTAGGAAAACCAGTCAATATTTTGACTAAGTTGTTTTTAAAGTGTACTTGCGGGGGCGCGGGCATTGAAGATTAAAATCGAAAATCGGCCTAAAGTGTTAAAAACGAGCCGCATACATGAATGTTGTGTAAAGAGCCGAAAGCCATAGCTATCTCAAGACTGACAGCTTGCCCAGCAATAACCCCTCCGAGCATGTTTTTACCTTATTGAAAAACAAAGCTAAAACAAGATTAATTCAACAGTATTATACCCACATAGGCAGGACATCCGGTATCTCATTTCTTAGAAAGCTCATATCTGATTTCGCTAGAAGGTTGGAAGGACTTATTTTCTCCAAACAATACTTGCATGATAGGTGAAACTATATATCCAAGGCGTCACTTCTTGTTTTATTCCATAATTCAATCATCCATCTACTGTCAAAATACAGACGTGTCTATGAATTTGCCTATGTTGGCCCGACGTATGCACCTGCTCGACCTGTGCCACTGGCCTACATTACGGGCAGTTTGAGAATGATACAACAAGCCTGGAGTGGAAGTTTCCAGTTTACTGAGCTAGCTGATGATCATCTTTCGGTCACACTATATCTTGATGATTTATGGGCGCGGGCAAACCTGTGTTTAAAAAAAAAAATGGGGGGGGTGCATTATTGTCCATGGCTACGGACTTTCAACGTAGCGTGTCAACGGCTAAACAAAACTGAAGCCGTATAACTTAAAATTATATCCAATTCGGACATGGCCTTTGTCTGACCGCCATTGTACAACTGAATAGCTGCGATAGTTTAATTTTTGTGAAGAGGGATATAGCTTTAAGAAGCAAGTGTCCGTTTAAGAAACACAAGAGGGCGCAATTCCGTTCACCGTGGACTAAAAAAAAAATCAATGCGAATCAATATCAGCAGAGGGCGCACTAACACCGGCTGTCGAACTTGTGACTCATTATTGGTGATTTTTGTGAACGTGTAGTAGGAGCTGCCTGTATTCCAGCGATTTATTGCAGTATTCAAACTATCATCGATAGAAATCTCACTGAAAATATCAGTCCTAATGAAAAAAGTTGTTATTCTTTACAAAAACGATGGAAAGTACAGCTGGAAATTGTACTTAATATATTTATGCTGTCACCAACTGTACGTTATAATTCAACATAGGGAAGACCGACATGACATTATCCACTTGCAACTGAACACGATCCAACATGGCCAGCCGGCAGCAGCCCGTTTTGCCCCTCGCCCAGAGGTACGTAAACGGGGTCCCCGTCCCCGAAAAGCGATTCAGTTTACGGACATCAGAGAAGTACTTTGTCTACTTGATAGTGTTAGTATTCATCAGCCTTTGCTACAGCGCCTTATTTCTCCTACCCGAACTCCGGACTCGAACCACGTATGTGGACGCACCGGAAAAGATGTTCCAACACAATGTTGATTTGCCGGGGGGAAATAAAGGGGGCGTTGTTGGGCACAATCCCTTGGACAAAACGGGGGAGGATATACACGGCTCAGAAGACAAAAAGAAATTTAGATTACAGTTGCGACTAGATGAAACTTTACAGCGGGCTAAGGATGCCCTAAATGGGGGCATGAATATGGGTAAGGAAATTGTTCAAGACAGTAAAAAAGATGGGATGGGAGAAAATGCCGAAAAAGACGACAAGTTACGTGTTGACGTCGCCAAGGACGAGCACAAAGATGTGAAAGAAGAGGTGGATCAGGATAAACAGAAGTTCTTAGAGAAGCAGAAGGAGGAAGAAGCCAAACGGAAGGAGGAGCAAAAGGAGGCGGATTTGAAGAAGGCGGAAGGAAACTTTGAAGGTGTCAATCTGCCGGACGGAGAACCAGATGACGAGGAGTCCAAGAAACGAAGGGATGCTATACGAGAGGTTTGTATACGGAGATGCGTAGGGACCTCTAGAAATGATGCAAACACAAGAGATTGGGAGTGTGATTGTTTTGCTGAAGTCCGTCAAAGTTTGTGTCAGTGTCATTAGAATGTTGCAACCTGACGCTACTTCAGCGGCTGTGTACAAAGTCAATTGGAGAGTCAAGAAATTTTTCCTAACAAAATTGGAAATATTTCTCAGTCAAAGATTCATGTCTTATCGTCATTTTTGCAATGACTGACTGGCATTGAGATGATATATGAAGAACAAAGCAGTGTCAGGTTGCAACATTCTTTCCGGTATCACAGTAACCCAGGTTGGACTCGACTCTTCTGTTGTGTGTATGTACAACGCAACGGAGTTCAGACTGTTCAGGATATGAAGTTCTGCTGCCACAGCGGAAAGAAATTCCATATACATACGCCACTAGTTTTTCCCTGCAATGACTCATCAACCATCAGGGAGGGATAACATGTCCTAAAAAGTGACATTTAGCAGGGAAAATATTGAAGCATTTAGTTGGAAAACAGAATTTTTCAGACCAGTCTCATAGGGTTTGTACACAGGGTGCCAAGTGGCGTACGTATGGAATTCTTTCCGCCATAGCAAACATTGTAACACTTTTTTTGCCCATATTTTTTACCTGATGGAGGAAGCTGAAATTTCGTTAACATATTCCCTGTGTCCGTAATGCCAAAGATAATTGGTTTAGAAAAAGTAAATGTCTGTGGGCGACAGGTTTACAGAAAATAAATCGCAGATCCACTTTTTCGCAGGTCCAAGTATCCTCAGTTTGAACTTCTCAAGTGGAGACTTGCGCACGCATTTGAATTTCTCGCATAGCAACTGTGTTGCATACGCCCGCTCATGTAAGTTTTCACACGAGAAATTCGTACTGAGGATGTTTACAACGAAAGCGTGGATCTGCGATATATTTACTGTAAACACTTCGCCTACGGACATATTTACTTTTTCTAAACCAAGCATCTTTGTAATCCAGACACAAGGCATATGTAAAAAAAAATTTAGCTTTCTCCATCAGGTAAGAAAGCAAAAGTTCAAAAATGTTTCATTATGGCAGGAAAAATTGATATCCTGGACGTCAGTCGTAATGCAGTGAGGACATCGTCCAACTTGGGCTTAAGTATCAGTGTGCATCTCACAACTCCAACGTGACATGCACATTGTCGATAAGCTACAGTGTGCAGACAAAATATCGATGTACACAGGCAACTTTTGCTGAGCCTATATGTGCCGGTAAATGTCCCAATATAAGTTGGCATCATTTCTTATGGTCCCTTGAATAATTGTTGCTATCAAACTTCTGCTGCTTACATTTAATGTTCATGAAATCTTTACCAGGTTTGAGTCTTCAGAAAAGTATCGTGCAGATCAAGTCTTATTGCGAATGAGAATGTTAACGTCCCAATTATAATTGGGGTCAGGATGGTCCACTGGTGGGTCAGTCCTAGTCCGCAAATTTGGGACTCTCAATACTGTGTATGAGAGTCCTAAAACCTAAATACAGTGAAAACATGCAACACAAGAAAATAGACTGGCGCCTAAAACAATTAGTCCAACACCCTTTAGTACTGCATCGATCAACTGTGTCAAAAGAAACTGGTGCCTAGTCTCTATTTCTACATATTTTCTCCATAGTCCTGCCACCAGACTACTGAATGGCAAATCTTTTCAAAAAGTTGGATGTGTGCCAGTCTACATGTAGTCTTAGGGTTCAAATTGAAATCACTTTCAAAAGAAAAGTTTCCTTTAACCCTCCTGCTATTTAAACAGTCACAGACAGTCAAAATTCACTTCCACTTCTACTGCTATACTTTCAACAAAGGCTAGTCACCAGCAGTCAGATCATATGTCAAGCAAGCACTGTGTCTAGTCAAACTGGTTCAACAGACAGAGCAGGCAAGTTGTGGTCACAGCTGTTTTATCGCTCACCGGGAGTCAAAGCATAGCTGTATCAAGTCACTTAATCAGTCCCAGCCAGTCAATCCTGCTTTATGTGGGCTGGGAATTCTTACGGGTTGAAAACAGTCACTTGATTGATTTTGACTGTAAGGACAACTTGGCACAGAATGTATGTTTACATAGGAGGGTTTAACATTGAATTGAGACCTCAGACTTGGCTGGTGAAATACCCAGGACCTTGTCTTTGACTCATGAAAACTGTGGAGAATTTTGCTGGCTAAAGAGTGAGTAAAGCTGGCCTGATGTTGTTTGCATGTTTTTCTGCACTCAAGATTCCAGTCTGACGCAACAGTAACTTTTTTTCGCCACCATCAAATTTTCCCTTCCAGAGTATCACAAGCTGTCAATCACTGGGCAAAAATGTATGTATCCTACTTTGTAATATCACACATGGGATGATGCATCAGCTTATATCGCTTTCATTGCTTTTATTAATATTACATGTAAATTGATTTTTCTCCCCCTAAAACAAACACTTAACAGTAAGAGGCCATTTCCAAACAGTACAGCCACGAGCAAACTGCGGAAATAATAGGAATTTTAAAATGTAGTGTGTGCACGGTCCATAGTCCAGGACGGAAATGAAAGTAACACAGAAATTATCTTGTTTACTGGGGTTAAAAGATATTGTAACCCCTGCCATTTTATTTCATCATTGGCTAGGTGGAACAAAAGAGACTTTGTATGCAGGCTATTCAAATTATAAATATGGACTGAAGTAAATGAATTTCGGAATCTGTATCTCGGCATTCAAAAAAAAAATAGCTTAACCAGACACCAGAGAATTCAGCTCAGCCTCTAATTTTATACAGTATTATTAATTTTATTATTTATTTCTGGTAATGAAACCAAGGATTCCTCAAAAGCGCCCTAGACACTGTAGCTTGCAAGCCTGAAGAAACCTATAGAAAGAAGACAAGAAAGATATTATTTATAGTTTTAGAGGTGAGGGAAAACCCATGAAGAATATTTTGGGGAAAACAGGCTAGGAATCAGGAAGGGACTGAAAACCCAATCCCTGTGTAACCAGGGCAGGAATCGAACCCGAACCAAAACGGAACCATAAGAGTTTGAAGGCGAGGAAAAACCCACCACGCCGTCCCGTCTCGCCATGTACGTTGCATGGAGAATGTGGAAATGGTTCATTAATAATTGACTGCACCGTGGTGAATTTGAAAGGATCTTGGAAGGTTACAACGATTTTAAGTAAACATAGTATGAAAAATTGATCACGTTAATTGCAACTTGCCCTTGAAGCTAGCTTCATAAGTACCATGTTGCTGTATTGATCTACTGGTAATGTGCATCATTTGCATACTAGTACACCATAATGTACCTTGGCCTACATGTATGTAATAAACACGACAGCCTCATAACGTTCCGCATGGAAGACTCTTGACAACACTTTCACGCCTGCATCCATCTGTCTCAGAAGCCAGACAGATCGCTAATAACGCTCATTAAAAACTGAATGAGACCTTGCTGGCCACATAATTGATGGTCATTGGCCACCTGGTATGAATTGATTCCAAGGAGGGTCCTAGACTTTACAGGATATCAAAATACTGCATCAGAGAAAATAAACACTAGTGTCAGGAAATGTCGTCAGTGTGGTTCTTGTAAGCATTAAAGTTGTTGCAGTAGAGCCCATTACATGTACAATGTACATGAACAAAGTAGATGTGCAAGTCCATCACAAGTCCAGTCACAATTAACAGGAGATAAACAATAACAATGGAATACCTTGTCACAGTTTGATTGGCTCAATAGCTTGTGACTTGACTTGGGACTGGAGGACTTGTGATCAACTTGTGAGGACTTAAATAGTCCATCATTTGTAATTTGTGCATTTTGTGCGTTTGGAGCAACAAAAGTGCTCAAGATCTAAAGAAGGGTGCCGAACAACTAGGCCTAACCTGACGAAGTTTCAGCTCAGCTTTAGCTGTATATTTTGAGAAAAACAACATTCTAGGATCTCGATTTCAAATCAAAAGTTGCTGAATTATGCTTTGAATTGGGCCTGAATTCAGCGTCTGAGACATGTTCTCACTGAGCCGATTGCAGCTACACGATGTCGCGCACTGATCCGACGAATTATAGCAACCGCACGCGCCTATGCGTCGTGCCAATGCTTGCGCACGCTTCGCCGAATAACAAAACAAACTACTAATTTAAATTTCCTACGGTGCGTCTTAAGAAGCACCGTTTGAAAGGCCTTCTTTTGTTGATTTCTTCAAAATGACAGCATGCCAGAAAGAATAATTTCACAGGGAGTTTAGTCCCCTTACTATCTTTCAACTAAGTATGTTTTTCAACACTAATAACGTCAGTCACTTTTTGGATAGCTGCAAATGATGGACTATACATGTAGCTTTAACTTGTGATCAACTTGTGAAGACTTACCGGTACAAACCAATGAGCTGCCAACTCTCCCTGATTCCGCAGAAAGTTCCCTGAAAATAAACCAATCTTTCCATGTTCTGATGAACAGATTTGAAAATCTCCCTGATTATGGAAACTGTTTCCCTATAATGTTGAATGTATTTTCTAAATTTGTCCCTGATTGTTGTACAAAATCTCCCTGATTGCAAGATGCAAAGGTTGGCAGCTCTATGTATGATGGACTCAAGTGACTAACTAGTAATTGTGAACAAGATGTGCGCACAGAACCCTCAACAATTCCTGCACACATGAAAATTACAAATGTAGGCCAATAGACTAACAGCCACCTTGGTTGAACATTCCTAAAGATATAATAGAACTTTCCTGATTCCCCCAACAAGCAACCATACTGCAGTAAACTAAAGACACATCTTGTAAACTGAAACGCACTGCGATATCAAGCCCCATTGAAAATCATGGCGGCTGGCCTGAATCCAACAAAATCCTGCAGCTGTTGGAATTTGTTGGATTTTTTAGGGTGGTGAGATTTAGCCGAACATCTAACTTCCAGGCATGTTTTTTTTCTTGGAACCTCTCTGAACCTTTTAAAATCAATATCAGTGCAGAAATGAAATGGCATATCAGGGAGCATCATGCCTCATGTAAATACATGAATTGACTCTTACAGTTTAAAACTCTACCTGCCTCAGTCCTTCAAAATCCATCAAATACCCCCTTGTAGATTTTGATGGATTTGGTAAGGTCAGGTTACCACAAATGTGCATACATGTGTAAATCAAGTGAGTTTTCCTTTCTCCGCAGATGATGCTACACGCCTGGAATGGCTATGAGAAGTACGCCTGGGGAGCCAACGAGCTCAAGCCCATCTCCCACGTGGGCCACTCGGCGAGTATCTTCGGTCGCTCGTCGGTGGGGGCGACCATCATCGACGGCATGGACACGCTCTACATCATGGGTCTCAAGGATAAATTCTTGAAGGCCCGGACGTACGTGGCCCACGATTTCCACTTCTCTGCTGTAAGTCAAAAAAATGTGGGGTGCCACTCACGTACATGTATGTAACCCTATTCATATATGTAGAGCTATGTACATGTACGGTCAGCTCTTACATCTTCCAGGCCTGTAGGCAGGAGAGAGAGGGGGAAGTTCAGATGAACCCCCCCCCCCCCCCCCCTCCCTCCCCCCAATCGGCCACAGGTCAACTTTTTCCTTGCGATTGGCATTTGAGTTTTACTCTCAAATATAAAGTTTTCATGTGTAATCAACTGTTTATTATACATGAAAAAGTCCACTTCACGGTAAAAACGACCCTACCCTTCCACCAGGCTGGCTACGACCCTAAACGTGTGCATGTACATGTACGTCACGCTCGGTTGCCCTCCATATATCAGATGCACTTATTGAACACATCTAAAATGTATGCCAAAGTACTGCAAAGGATCATAGGTATACTCACGTGGCGTGACTTCTGGTAAGCCAGCTAGCGTCACTAGAGACATCGCTGTCTACTACTATGGGTTTGAGGATATGCTCCACTGGTGATTTTAAAATACATTCTGCCAAGTAAATTTCTGGGTCACAATTTGATTATTTTCCTAAAAGCAGAACAGGGCAGGCTGAAGAACTGTAGCCTTGTAGGCATGAACTACTTGTACATGTATGAAAATGGTAGCTGCTCAAATCGGTAGGGTGGCGAGTATGGTCTGCACATCTGTGTCGGATATCCCAGTTACAGGACTGACAGCATTAAAGGGAATATACAACATTTGCAAACATCAACAAATAAAACTACCGAAAGTTTTAACGAAATACCTTACTAGGATGTTGGTAAATGACAGTCTAAAGCATCCTGTAAAATTATGGCACCTGATGTCAAGTCATTTTCAAGAAAACAGTATTTTTGTATACATTTCCAACGGTGGTCGGCCGACCACCGTTGGAAAAACCTAACTTTTTTTCAACTACTGCTCCAATTTTACCTTTTTTTCAGTCCAAATTTTGTTTGCTATTGGTTACATGTTCACGATCGGGTGCAGGTCAGCTAGACTGGTTCCCTTACTTTACAATTTTCCGGCATCTATAAATTGATCAATTTCATCTTTAGTGGAGTCGGGGAACCAGACTACTTGAACATTTTTGTTTTTCTTGGTTTTTCCCAGCATTTTTGAACACAAAACTTCAAACATGTCAGTGTAACAATATTTGATCTATCATACTAACCCCTCAAATAGTTCATTTCTGAAAATTACAGCAAAACCCAATGATGTACATTCCCTTTAAAAAACCTCCAAAACATCACGGTGGTTTAAAAAGACTTCGGAAAAGGTTCAGGTCGATACATGTGCATTTACATGTAGGTTCATATTGAGGAACATGAACCGGTACATGTTGAGTTGTTTTTATTTTCATTGTAGACTTTTCTGTTTTTCTCAGTTGAAATTATTTTGAGCATTATTGATTGGTGGCCGTGATGTAGCATTTATTACCAGTTATGGCTGATACAAGAAACAGGTGTTTGGTGTATTTGCCACGTTGAACAAGTGATTACAGGTGTAAACTAGCAAAGTGACACTGAATAATTCATGTCCATGTAGTGCACAAAATGTCGTCATACAGTGTACCTTACCTCTTCCAGTGACTTGGGTTTTTAAGGGATTGCTGGGTTTTTTTTCCAGCATGATCAACAGTCATTCGAAATTGCTGGTTAATACATGTTTGTGTAATATTGTAAAAAAAAAAGGAAGGATTCTCATTTACATTTTTCAAACTTGGGAAGTGTCAAATAATATTCCACCTGTAATTGTGGCGATTGTAATTTAGGCCATCAGCCTGGGTGTTTGGTCAGTATCAAATCAGGGCATAAATGATTATAGTGCGCATGCGCAAGGTATACCGCCCCTAGAGTGGTAACAAGCATTTTGATGGCCATTTTGAAAAAAAGGGTGATAACACCCAAAAAGCTGCCACCACAGCAATGCTATCACATATTTTCTAATTCTGGAGCTGTATACCTTGCCAAAAATCACTATGACGATTATTCCCCTCATTTGATACCGGCGGCCAAAATTTTGGACCGAGGCTGATGGCCTAATTGTAAACATTGATAACACCTTGCCAAATGTAGGAAGGATAGGGTACAATGTACAATGTACGTTTCATTTCAGCCACTAGAAAAAAGTAGGTTTTTTTTTGGTTATTCATGGTTTGGAAATGCTCACCAAACACAAGAGCTGTGCATGTGAAACATGTACATTATTGTGTCCATTGTCATGAATTGTTAAACAGATCTCCACCCACATACTGAAATTTGTATTCTTGTGGAGACATTTCTTTGTTTTCGTGTAGTAAAGTTTTCGAGTTTGAAAGTGAAGTTTCAAAATGCTCTTATTTTAACCAGAATTAATTTCCTTGGCTGAAATTCGGACTTAATATCCCTTTTCTAAAACTCTTCCATTTGCGACTGATCAACCCACCTTGGAAATTCCTAGTTTTTGAGTAAAATCCATATCTATTTTGTGAAAATCTTGTGGAGACGTATTCATCTATAGAAATTGCCCTGTGGAGACGTATACAATCTTTTGTTCCCTATTGTGTGCATGTCTCCAGAGGGCACGGTGTATCAGATCAAAGTATCTCATATGATTACACATGTGTAAGTTTGAATTGTTTAAACAGATCTCCACAAAGTATCTCATACGATTACACATGTGTAAGTTTGAATTGTTAAACAGATCTCCACAAAGTAGGCCTACCTCATATGATTACACATGTGTAAGTTTTTGTGGCCAACCTACTAAGATTTCGCAGAAAAAAATTGTCATCATTTGGGGATCATAAGTGGTGTCCCTGTGCCATATGGTGTGCATCTGATTGTCATCAATTTTTCTTGTTTATGCATTTCCATTATTCAATGCTTCAGTGATTTTTTTACCAGTATTCCCTGCAAATAACTTGCCTCTGGTTATGGTACATTTCATTTTATTGTCATTTTATTTATTGATTTTTATCTATTTTGCATTTCAATATTCTTTTTATTCCTGGGCACAAATGCTGGGGGTACATGTAAATTGGACTTATTGTCTGGTATTTATGCGCATTTAAAGATGACGTTTAGGTTAAACAAAGAAATTCCTCATCCTCATGTTTCAAAGCAGCTAGTCTTTTGATTTTCTAGAAATCTAGTTCTCCTGTATGGTTTAAATGAATTTGATGGAAAAAAAACGATGTAAAATAGAAATTACTCAAGTGTCGTAATTTGTCACACTTCAAAGGATGAATGGCAGTTAGACATTTATCAACCATTCACCGTGTTTGAATGAACAAATTTAAGTGCGTCTGACAACTCCAAAATGATTTTGCAAAGTCTTTTTTTGTCGGACTAATTTTTTTCCTGACATTCATGAAGAACACATGCTCATGTAGAGGATACAGTTTTTTGAAGATATTATTAATATTTTTAATATTATTAATTATTTTTGGTAATACACCAAGGATTTCTCAAAAGCGGCCCAGGCACTGTAGCTCACAAACCCGAAGAAATTTGTAGAGAGAAAACATTGAGCAGAAATTACAGTTTTAGAGGTGGGAGGAAAACCCCAGAGAATATTCTGGGGGAAACCCATGGAATCAGGTAGGGACTGAAAACCAATCCATTATTTGCCCAGGCAGGAATCAAACCTGGGTCACAGTGGTGGAAGGCGAGGAAAGTACCGCTACGCCAGCCTGACTAGATGTGAATGAATATCACTTCATGCTTAATTTGAGTTGCTACACTGTACAAGTCACATAAATGTTCTATTTGTGCTTGCGTTTCAGACGACCGACCTTTCGGTGTTTGAGGTCAACATCAGATTCGTCGGTGGTTTGCTGTCTGCCTACGCCCTAACTGGTGATGAGGTACAGTATTCCCTACATTTAGATGGGTCATCCCGAAAATGTGGAGCCCACATTTTTCCTGTTCCTTTTGACATCTATGATTCTATAACTGTGATCATGCACTCCATATAAAGTCGCCCTCCAAGAGTGATTACATAATATGTGACCGGCTCCACAAAAAAGGGTATGATGTTGCAAAAAACTGAAATTGAGTTATATAAATGGTTGGAAAGCCAACAATGTAAGCTTTTATTTGGTATCTAATAGAGCTCCATAGTCCCTCCCGTTCTGGAGATATGACGTATGTGCATATTAACTACTTCCTTGGAGTTCAAATTACACAACTGAGAAAACAGGCTTTGAAATAGCTGGCTTTGTTGTAGAACTACAGAACGATGCACACAAAATGGTTGTTTTTTTCCACTTTGTTCATCAAAATCAACATTTCTGTGAATGAAACCTGAAACTGTAGGTGTTAAAGATGTCACTCATGATAAAAAATGAAAATCACATTTTGACAAAATGTTCACCCTCTCAATGTTGAGCAGGCCATTACACAATAATGCTCAGCACGACTTAATACCCTTTTTTGTGGAGCCGGTCACATAATTAAAGCAAACTACCTACCTAACCAATGAAAATTGTTAAAACTTTTTTTTTTAGTGATACCTAAATTTCAAATTACAAAGGTTAGAGCTACATGTACATGTAACAAGGACAGGAGAAATGTCAAAAGTGCTGTAGATCCTATTTGAATAACCCAGATGTCACTCAGCACAGACCAAACCACTTTTGAATGGTCGCTTGTGTTGATGTACAAAAGATCATGCTATTTCTATTAAAGTTATTGTTGACACAAGTTTCCAACAATGATCACATTGATAAGTTAACATGCGATCTGCACAAACAAGACGGGCACTCTCTAGCCCTGTCACTGAAGTGCTATCCACCCATTTTTCACTCTCAGTGGCTAACACAAGAAAGATGAAACCAAATTGCCGCCCACATTGGAATGTTTGCTTCTCTGGACGATAAAACTTATAATTTATTGATGAAGCCGTTTACGCTGCACTCAGTATTTCATTGTGAATTGACAGGGAGTCTTTTGGCCGTTAAGTTTTCAGATTTGACAATTTTCAATTTGGGATGAAAAAAATGTTCAGAAAATTAGTTGTATAAATGTAAAATAACAGAGACAGTACTTACAATAATGGAAAAGGTTTTTCTTCTTATTAAGTAAGTACTGCATATTATGGACTGTTTTTTTTCCAGAAACATATGTGCAACATCAGAACGTTTGCATATTTTTGATTGGTTTAACAAAATGAGATTGCAGATCCGGGTAGTGGATGTTATTTTCCCTTTAAATATGCACAATTGCACATCTGCTGTTTTTGTCCTGAAGCAAAACAAAAATGTCAAATTTAATATGTATCGGTACTATTATGCATACTTTATGTACATAAAATTAGAACTGTTTGAATATTGACACGACTACACTGTGCTGTAGTGGGACAGATTAGATATTATGTCTGTATCTCCCATACTCACAACCCCATCCCGCCCCCTCCCCAACTCCCCAACTTCCAACCCCACCAGCCTTGCCCTCCACCAACCCGGCCCACACCCCACACCCGGCCCACACCCCACACCCGACCCACACCCCCCCCCCCCCAATCTGGTGCACACCCCACACCCCCAATCCGGCGCACACCCCACACCCCACACCCCCAAATCTCCCCCATCCTCCCCCCCCCCCAAAAAAAAATAAATAAATAAAAATAACCCAGAAAGCAAGGCAAACCAGATCAAACATTTTTTAGCGTAATTAATTACAAAAAACAAAAACAAAAACAAAAACCTCCAAGGGTTGTCAACTTATTCAAGTGTATTAAATCAAATTAGGTTTTGCCCTTCACCGACGTATACACTGTATACTCAGTGTGTTACCTCCCGAGTGAAAGTTGGAAAAAAAACACTCGGGTGGGACTCGAACCCACGACCTCCTGCTTTCTAGTGCAGATGTCTTACCACTCTACCACCGAGCTTACGGGATCGAATGGCTGGTTCGAATCTAAATAGCAGCGGGCACCACATTATAACTATTTATCAGTATTCAAGTGCAGAGAAAATCCTGTTGGGCCCCCTCCCTTTCCTGACCACATTTCGTCCAAGAACACCACCTGGAATTTCAGTCACACATTTATGTCTGCACATTGTCTGCAGTCAAGGAAATCCTGCAGCAGTCCCAAAATCCCAAAACCTTTTTTTCTTGGTTCTGAATTCATAAAAGAGAAAAGTGGTGTAGGCACAGAATACATGTAAATGTCAGAGAAAGTGTGTTGACATTTTCAGCTGATGTTCATATTATTTGGGTAGTCGTGAATATCTGTTCTTGCAAATGCAGTGTTAACTTTTTTAATGCAGAGATTGTTTCATTCTAATCATGCTTAAAGGGTTAATGAAGTGATTTTTTGTTAGGAACATATTTTATGCAATTTTCTACTCCTCTTAAATGTAGGAAATAATATTTGACCTTTTATTTGGATTCCCTGATTTTGGTTGCAGTTTGTGGAATTGTTAGTGTTCGATTGGCAGTTACGGTTGTATGTGAAATGGCCACTATAAACCCTAACTCCCCACTTACTAAGTAGAAGACCATGTCCGTCAAAATCCATCCCTCACTCTGTTTCACATAATGCTTCAGGACCAAATCTGATGAAATCCACCAGGATTTTGACAGACTTGGTACACATCCATGCTTAGTTTGCCAATTTGTGCCAAATTCCCCCACTAAATGTGGGGATGGATTGTGATGGAGTTGGTAAGGTTAGAGTTAACAGGAAACATGTACATTGATTTCAAGTCATCTGTGCAATTAACACTTTTTCCCCACCAGAAAAGGTTGTCAATGTGTACATACAAATGTATGCACATATTTTTACTCTTTATTAATTTCTCCATCTTTAACCTCCATTGGGCTATATTAAAAAAAAATTTTGTCTTGTCCTTTCCTCGGCAGATATTCAAGACGAGAGCCAAAGAGATAGCCGATAAGCTGCTCCCGGCATTCAACACACCGACTGGCATACCCTACGGTCTGGTCAACATAAAGAGGTACATGTGCATTGCATCAATCATAGAGCATCATCTTCATTGTGCATGATATATGAATTATACATGTCATAGTTTCCGGCTATTAGTTCCCTCCCCTGTGAGCACTTGACTTGGTTTGAATAAAGTGTTACAGCTTTGTATGAAATTACTTTGGGACAAATTGTGTGCACTCAGGCAACACATTTTGATAGGACTTTCAGAGTCTAACATGCCTAATGGGAAAATTTATCAGCAGAGTCAGTAGAGTAACATATTAAAGGGAAAATACAACATTTGCAAACATCAAAAAATAAAACTACCAAATCATTTTGAAATACCTTGCTGGACTGTTAGTGAATGACAGTGTAAAGCATCCTGTAAAATCATGGCACCTGGTATACTGTCATTTTCAAGAAAAGTGGTATTTTTGTATCAATTTCCAACGCTGGCCGACCAGCGTTGGAAAAAACTGGCTTTTTTTCAAATACTGGCCCCAATTGACCACCGCACTTGTCTGCAACCGATAACACACATATGAACGGGTACAAGCCAGCTAGACTGGTTCCCTGACCTTACAATTCCCCAATGTATGTAAACTGCTCTGTGTCTTCTTATATGGAGTCAGGGAACCAGACTACAGGAAAATGATTGTTTTTCTTGGTTTTTATAGCATTTCGGACCCAAAACCTCAAAAAAGTCAGTGTAACTATATTTGCTATATATTTCCAACCCCCCAATTCCATCCATTTCTGAAAATTACAGCAAAAGTAAATGATGTATATTCCCTTTAAAGGGTCCATTCAGTGAATTTTTCTTAGGAACACATTTTGTGCAACTTTCTACTCTTAAATGTATGAAAACAATTTGGCATGCCTTGTTTGGTTAATTCCATTAAAAAGTGCACTTCTTTAAACACTAAAAAAAAATTCCCCTGTGTTTCTTGACAACTGAGGGCGCTGTTGCTGTGATGTCATGTTAGGAAGACACTGTTCATTTTAGGGGTTTTCTGTTCAAATTGAAAACATTTGTGAGAAAGGCTTGCTCACTGGCTTACTGCCATGTACTTACACAGTAACAAATCACCAAATGAAAGAACAGTTACGACAGCAAAACATGCAAAATTCTAGTAACTTTTTGTGCTAGATTAGCTGTAACATTGAGGTTTCTGCCCGAAATGACTTCACAGCTTTGCTCATGAATATGGAAATTTGCATTAGCATAAAAGCCAAAAAGCACCAAAACACCCTTCAAAATGCCAAAACGCAAATTCAAAATGAGGTTATATCATATATGGGACTCAAAGGTTCATTTTCAAGGACAGCATTAAAAAAAATTACGTTGCATGGGCCCTTTAAGGGAAATACACGATTATTTTCTAGTTATTTTCTAGAAGTAAATTTTTCGTGGCCTTGTCATTTGGTGTCAATCCCAGCAATTGTTTTGTGTGTTTGAAATTGATTGACGGCTTTGTATCGTACTTTATTCCAGTTATTCATCTCACAAACTTTGGTGCCGTGCTCCGAAAATGTGGACCGATTCAATTCATAAACTATATTGAACTGAATATTTGTGATCATGGCAGCTTGGCAGTTGCTAGTTGTCATTCATGTCATTGCACAGACATGTACGTGAACAATGTATGATATACGTACAGTATGCTCACGGCTGAAATACTTATTTAATGTGCTCAGCGTGTGAACTTTTGTAAATTGCAGTGCCTGTCATCTGCAGGACACGTCTCTCTGCATGCTCTGCAATATTGACCAAGATCATGCAATTTTGATGAGACTTGCCATCAAAAATCTATTGCAGGCAACTCGTCACTCGTGAGCTTAACGGCACAGGTTGAAATGAACTAGGTGAACGTACATTGTACCTGGGATGGTGACCCGGACTACGGTCGTTGTCATAGAAACCTGTCGTAAGCCCCCCCAAAAATAGCAGTAGTTCTGCTTCCGGTTTCCCTACCTACCCTATGCTGACAGCCCCTTTTTTTATGGGTAAAATGAGAGAAAAACCCCCAAAACCATAAATTTCTACCTTTTACCCTTGACTACACGCAGACGCATCCATATGATTGTAAACCAAAAGTGGCCAAAATTTTTTTAAAATTTCCTACCTACACCTACGGCTACCTACTTTTCGAATGCCATGTAATCAGAAGCAAACCTATTTTTTTTTTTTGCCTTATCTGTCAACTTGCTCATTTGAAGGAAATATCAAATAAATTTTCCAATTTTGTAAAGAGCTTCGGATAAATATAGATGTACATTGTTTTTGGCCCACAAATTCATCATGACCATGATACATTTTTATTTATACCTTTATCTATCCAGGGTAAACCCAAACACCAAAAAGCTGGTTTTCATTAGGGCCCTGCATTAAAATAAACTAATAATATGAAATTTACAAAATCGAAGGCTTAAAATTATATGCACTTAACTCAAACAAAAAGCAAAAACTAAGAAAAGATAAAAGAAAAACCAGCAACAAAAACAAATCAACACTCTCTCGGTAAAATAACGTTACTAAAACAGAGGGCAAAAAAGGAGTGTATAAACAAACAAAAAGACAGAGGGACTTCATTATGTATACATGTACACACTGTGCAAGTACATGTTACCACTGAGAAGTGTTGCAACGTTTATGTTTGAATTTAAGTTTTCTAGATTCACACAGTTATCGCTCCAGAGGCAATTTACATGATTTATTTGATAAGTTGAATCCTGTCGAGGTGGATCACGCCCGGCCATTCATTCTAATGCATTGTCCTCCTAAAAGCTCTGTCTAGTAAAAGCCCACATGTTAGTCTCATCTTTGGTGCATCCTGTACTCAAGCATCTGATGACCTCCGTTGTGCGGATTGTGTTACCCACTTCATTATGGAGAAATGGCATCTCAAGTTCTACATAATAGGAACGATCCATCAAAACACTGTAGTCAGTAGTAAGCTTACCGTAGCATGCAAAATGTTTTGGGATTAAGAAAAAACTCCCTGTTCTAGTGTTTGTTATTAAAGTTAATACTTTGGTGCTTGGCCGAAAATCCTTTATACTGGATTCCTTCTAATGTAACAGATTAAGGAAGTAAAGTGCCTTTTGAACTCTTTATTCGGTCAGTTCCAGAAATATCGTATTTTAGAATTTAGAGACTCCTTTTTAAACTTTGAAAATCATTTTATATTTTTGGCTAATTCTTTTAGTGTGCACTGTCTCATTGTAAAGCTTGTTACGTTATCTAATTTAAAGAAATAGCAGTTTATTTTCAAAAACATCAAGCAATGGGCGGCCTCACCCCAAAAGCACAGAGATACAAACTTTAATTAGATAGTCATTAGACAAAAGGTACGGTAAAAAGCATTTTTAAACCAAAGACAAATTGTCATTATTGCCAAAAATTGGATTACATTTACCGGTAAGTGTCCAATTACACAAATTATTAACCATTTATGAAATTAGTCATATCTGGTTTACTCTTATTTTTTAGAAACTTGATTTCAGGCACTTTTGAGTTGGAGTTTCCGAAGAGTATAGTTGACGTATCCTGTGGCGCATTTCAAAACTGTATTCTGTTTCTATATCAATTTTTGGTTTGCGGTAACACCATGCAATAATAACAACTGCTTGGAAGATATTTAGTTCTGAAAAGAACTTGTCCTGCTTATTATCAACTTTCGCTAAGTATTTTTTGTTCTGATAAGAGCAGTCCTGCTTTAAGTGCTAAAAGAACTTGTCTTTGGTCTCAACGTTTCGACTAGCCTGCTCTAGTTGTCAGGAGACTGTATTCTGTCATCTTCAAGATTGTATTCCGTCAAACTAAATTGTCTTATCCAAGTTGATTTTAATTTGTTTTATGGCGTTTATCTTTGTCTTTTGCAGTGGGAGCGGGCGCAACTGGGGCTGGGCCTCGGGGGGTAGCTCCATCATCGCCGAGTTTGGAAGTCTGCACCTGGAGTTTATGTACCTCTCAGAAATAACGGGAGAACCTGTGTATCGTCAAAAGGTAGGTAGCGGAGAGAATGATTCCTGCAGACCCTCTCTTGTAGACCAGAATTTGATTCGTCCCCGTAATAATTTGGGCTGTTGAGTCTCTTAAGCACAGCAAATTCAGTTAGCATCTGGACTCGTGATCATAGGGTCAGTGGTTCGAACCCAACTTCTGGCATTGTAAAGCAGATCTGGCAGCATAAGCAGAAAAAGCGCCTTGCCCAAAGGTCCAAATGAGCAGTCAAACCTCTTCCTAATAATCTTCCAAAGCTGATCTCATGTGAACTTCCATCAAGGGCTGCTAAAAGGCATATTGGACCATTTGCTGACACTCCAAATGAAACTGCCAAAATATTATGAAATAGCCCACTTCATTGTAAGTAAATAATAGTATGAAACATCCTGTGAAATCGTTGATCTTAGTATGCTGTCATTCTCAAGAAAAGAAGAATTTTGTATCAGTACTAACGTTCTATGTACGGCAGATTCTGCAAGCTGCACTTAGGTGGTTGAAAACTATAAATTAATAGCCCTTAAATCGGTCCATTTCATAAAATTATGACCTATGATTTTTATGAAATGCAAATGATCCTACACTTTTAACACAATCTTTGGATATGGGATGAAAATCAACAGCGTTTATGTTCTGAATTGGTCAAGTTGGGTTTTTTTCCCCTCTGCTGCTGCAGCTTTGAAATTTCCAGAAGATTTGTAAATAATATTAGACATAATCTGATGTCTTTATTGTTTCTCTGTCTACTTGCAGGTTGATAAGATCAGAGATGTACTGAACTCTATGACCAAGCCTAACGGCCTCTACCCGAACTATCTCAATCCTAAGACTGGCAAATGGGGACAGCGTAAGTACATAAACATTATTATAAGAAGTTTGCGTCGGGGTGATATAAATCAAATTAGGTTTTGCCCTTCACCAACGTTTTTAAACACTGTATACTCAGTGTGTTACCTCCCGAGTGAAAGTTGGAAAAAATCACTCGGGTGGGACTCGAACCCACGACCTCCTGCTTTCTAGTGCAGATGTCTTACCACTCGACCACCGAGCTAACGGTAACTCTTATAATAGTTTATGCAGTACCCGCTGCTATGTACATCAGATTCGAACCGGCCAACCGATCCCGTTAGCTGTAAGACATCTACACTAGAAAGCAGGAGGTCGTGGGTTCGAGTCCCACCCGAGTGATTTTTTCCAACTTTCACTCGGGAGGTAACACACTTGAGTATACAGTGTTTAAAAACGTCGGTGAAGGGCAAAACCTAATTTGATTTACATAAACATTGCTTGCCATCAGGGGGTGTTTGACCCCGAAATAAATGTTGGCACTACCACAACTGTCCACTTCCCAAAATATCCCATCGTATGGACTTACCTAAGAGGAACATGAAGGTCCGTACTTGACCCTAACCGTCCCAAATCTTGCAGAATCCTCTTGGCAAAATGGAGGATTTTGCAGGATTGAGGCTATATGGCAAAAATGTGTGGCTGATTTTGGAGGATTCGCTGTGTCAAGGTCTTGGGCCGGACCTTGTGTTGTTTATGCTCAGCCATGCATACATTTAGGCCTAGATTGTACTCAAAATCCTCCGCACTGCTCCAGGATGTCACTGGCTTTGCCTCAACATATTGACAGTGATTGCTGGAGGATTATGCAGGATTGAGGTAGAGGTCACCCCTCCAAAGACCACATTCAAGAAATAACGTAGATTTTTGCAGGATTGAGGCTGTACATATGCAGTTTTGACATGGAGGCAGTTGGAGGTTTTTGCAGGATTGAGGTTGCATCCTGGCAAAAATGCCTGGGGAGTTTGGGATAAAGGGAATGTACATCATTGGCTTTTGCTGTAATTTTCAGAAATGAACTATTTGAGAGGTTAGTATAATAGATCAAATATTGTTACACTGACATTTTTGAAGTTTGGTGTTCGAAAAGGTTGGAAAAACCAAGAAAAACAAAAATGTTCAAGTAGTCTGGTTCCCTGACTCCACAAAAGATAAAATGGATCAATTCATAGATGATGGAAAACTGTAAGGCAAGGGAACCAGTCTAGCTGGCCTGCACCCGTTCATGAACATGTAACCAATAGCAAACAAAATTTGGACTGAAAAAATGGTAAATTTGGAGCAGTAGTTGAAAAAAAGTTAGGTTTTTCCAACGCTGGTTGGCCGACCACAGTTGGAAATGTTTACAAAAATACCGTTTTCTTGAAAATGACTTCACACCAGGTGCCATAATTTTACAAGATGCTTGAGACTGTCATTTACCAACATCCTAGTAAGGTATTTCGTAAAAACTTGGTAGTTTTATTTTTCGATGTTTGCAAATGTTGTATATTCCCTTTAATGATCTTTTGTTTGCCTTCTTTCAGAGCATGTATCTCTGGGTGCTCTAGGCGACAGTTTTTACGAGTACCTGATCAAGTCTTACATCCAGTCAGGCCTAAAGGATGAGAGAGCCAAGAAGATGTACTTTGAAGCTGTTGAGGTGATGAGATTTATTTTTCTATTCAGTCCATTCATAAATCTATACTACATTCTAGATATGTCTGAAATTATCAGACCAGAAGAGGTTGCTTGGCAGCTTAACATGAAATTTGCACTTGGTAAACATCAGCTGAGAGCTACATGTAGATGTGGTCATAAGTATGCATACATCTTATGACATTTTAGCAGGTAGCTGAGCTTTGGTAAGTAAAATTTTTCTGTGCATAGCAAATCTGTGATGCGATCAAGCTAAATGAGTCGTTTGTCGACCCTGGTCACAAATTTTTTATTACAGATTTGAAAAGAGCACAATCTCAGCACTACTGCTGTGAAAACCGCATGCTGATACCATCTTTAGTTAAAAAAATTATGGAAGTCGGAACACCAAGAGATGTGATGAAGTGATGTGATGAAGTGGCCCTATTTTGGCCTGAATCTCCAAATAAAAATTCCCGACAAACGACTCATTTAGCTTGATCGCATCACATCTGTCTACACATCTGTCTACACATCTGTCTACACATATGAATGCATCTGAAATTTGCTTCAGAATAATGAGGAATTGATATTGTAATTTCTTGTATGTAGTCATCCGTACAGAGGCTTATTGGATTAACTTGGTAGAACGCCTGTACAGTGTTCTTCAGATTGAAGGTTCGAATCTCACCGCAGTTAATTGCGACGTCATTGATAACCGATTTCCTGTCAATTTCCAACAACCCATAGGCCATCGAAAAGAAGATGAAGCAGACCTCGCCAGGCGGACTGACGTATATCGGGGAATGGCGAGCCAATCGCATTGAGAAGAAGATGGACCACTTGTCGTGTTTCTCCGGTGGAATGTTTGGCCTGGGAGCTCGGTACTCGAACAAGAAGGAGCATTATCTTGAGCTAGGCGGGCAGATTGCAGAGACTTGTCACCAGGCCTATGATAACACAGGTACATTGTCTGGGCCAATGCTCAACTTAGGAGCTGCTAAGCCGAGGATAGTGCTTAGCAAAGTTATTTGGCAAAAATCAGCTGAGATCCACATGTGGATGTAGTCATAAGTATGCATACATCTCATGACATTTTAGCAGGTAGCTGAGCCTGCTGGGGTGCTGTGGTCCAGTGGTTACGGTGTTCGACTCGTGTGCCGTGGTACATGGGGTTCGAATCCTGACCGTGGGAACATGGTGCTTGCGCTCCTGAGCAAGGCGCTTTACCATTATTGCTTCGTCCTTCGGATGGGACGTGAAGCCGTAGGTCCCGTGTGTTGTGTAATGCACGTTAAAGGACCCAGTGACACTTATCGCTAAGAGAAGGGGTTTGCCCCGGTGTTTCTGGCAGTGGCTGCTTAATGCACCGCAGCACCTTGTAAACCATTGATGCTACATAATGGTTCTCATATTTCTCATGTACTTCATTTATCTGTCTCTAATAATAGACATAATTTCCAGCGCCTTGAGTACCTAATTGTTGGTAGATACGTGCGCTATATAAGAGTTCGGTATTATTTGGCTGGTAAACAAATTTTGCAAAGCAACATATTTGTATAATATTGGATGGCTTTGAGGAGGATACAGCAATATATTGCACAAGCTATAGCATTCGAATTGTGCAATATTGTTATAGCTAGTGCATTAGATTCTTGTATCCCCAAAAACAAGCCATTCAATAGTATTACTTATATTGTTTCCTCATATTTACACCTCTTCAGTTGTTGACTTCAAAGAGATTCCCTTAACCCTAACCCTCCAGGGTATTTTGGCTAGAAACCCTGCCAAACGCAGCAACATGCAACACTTGTCTAAGTGACAAGCCTGCCCAGTGTAGCAAGATCCATCAGGTCAAAAGTCTCAAGGCCAAACTGCCTCAGAGTCTGTGGTCACCCACTGCAGCAGGATACAACTCGGGCATTGTTCCATGGGACTAGCTCTCAGTGTCTCAGAAGTGGCCGGTTTATGCACTGGTGTTGGTAGCATTTTCCATCAAAGTGCACCAGACTTTTCCACCTGATGCACTGTGCTGCGTCTGGCAGGGTTAGGGTTAATGCAGTGCTCAACTGAATGTTGTGTACTTGTCTTTTAGCCCTAACACATAAATTATTCAACACTTGTTACAGCAACTAAACTTGGCCCCGAGGCGTTCCGTTTCGAGGGTCGTTCGGAGGCTGTGGCCATGCGACAGAATGAGAAGTACTACATACTGAGGCCCGAGACGATAGAATCTTACTTCGTGATGTGGAGGCTAACACACGACCAGAAGTATCGGGAGTGGGGCTGGGAGGCAGCAGAGGTAAGAATCAACGTAACCCAGGGGTTTCTGGACACTTGGCTTCATCTTTCTGACTTCGGATTTGCAAAAATATGCGGGCGCCTTTGTTAGTCCAGCTCATCTTAGGTTCATGTTTTGATAATACAGTCGAGTCTCGTTAATACAAACTCGTTCGGACCTAGCCAAATTGTTTGTTATATCAGAATTTTGTATTAAGAGGAACATCAGTCCCATTCATTGTGCACATAAATGCACAGTCGGGACCAAGGCTTTATGTTTGTTATAACCAGAATTTTGTATTAACAGAGTTTGTACTAACAAGATTCGACTGTATATGGCCAAACTTTTAGAATATTTCCTTTTTGGTTTGGAAAGTAAAGACGTGTTAATGATTGAACAGCCAATTTCATGAAACTTTGCACAATGTTGTACAACTCCAAAAGTTAAACAATATTTCACCTAGTGTAGCATTTCACTTGTGACACATTTCACGAAAGCTGCACGGTACGCATGTCTGCGACTTATGCAACAAATTTATTGCGTTATTTAAACAGTCATTTTATGTGGGGACTGAAATTGGACTATTTTAATGACCAATTGTGACCGTTGTGGAACCTACAACATGCAAGAAACTCATAGATTTGATTTTGGCGAAGTAAATGAATTGTTTTACCCATGCAAAAACTTTTTTAGGTGACGCACAATTCCGAAAAAAATTCAGACAAAATTATTTCCAAAATAGCAACGGAGGTGTATCATAGTGTATCATAGGAAGTTAGGGAGTTGGGGTGAATAGCCACTTTTTCAAAGGAGAGGTTGATATTTCTTTAGAATTTAAAATTTCAGTTATTTGAAACCTCAAGATGCATATCCTCATCCCTGCAGTTTCCAATTTATCGTCTCTTTTTCACAACAGGCTTTGAACAAGCACTGCCGTGTGGACAGTGGTTACTCCGGCATACGGGACGTCTATGCAACCAAAGTCGGCCACGACGATGTACAGCAAAGCTTTTTCCTCGCCGAAACTTTAAAATACCTTTATCTGTTATTTTCAAATGACGATCTTATACCACTAGACCAGTGGGTGTTAAACACAGAGGCCCATCCCTTTCCAGTTATTAAAAACTGGTCAACTTGAGGCCTTGTTTTTTTTAATTAAACAAATCCCTAATTTTTTTCCACAGATTTTCTTGGATAAATTAAATGGGCCCTAAAGTGTGTATAAGGTGGTCTCAACATGTACAAGGCGAGTCAGAAAAACTGAAATGATGCAAAAGAGTCATCTTTTTTTCAAAACCAAGTTGAAGTTTTGAACTTTTCAAACGTTGTAAGAATGATATATTCGTTAGTAACCTTGTGTGAAAAAATGAAGTTAATTGCATGTAGCGATTGTCTTTTATGAATCTTTTTACTGTGGCACCCGATTTACGTTTTTGTCCACTAGGCAACAGAATTTTGCATACGAGCAGAAACGGTACGATAAAGACATTATAGACAACACAGATTTAAAAGTGACTGAAGTTAGCTCATGGTTTATTTTTCTGTTTCACTTCTTTATGTTTATGCAAAGTTTCTCTGGGCTATACTATAGTTACTGTGTCCTTCATTGCTCACACAATTGCAGCTCTGCCCTCTACTTGGCAACCCTGCAAGGCAATGCATGTCTCAGCTCTAGACCTCATGGAAAGAACGGCTGGGGACCCATTTTGTGCTCTCGTGCTATTTTTAGACACCTCGTGGACAAAAACGTAACTCGCGTACCGCAGTAACAAGATTCACAAAAGACGAATGGTACATGCAATTTACCTTATTTTTTCACTCAAGGTTTCTAATGAATATATCATTCTTACAACGTTTAAAAAGTTAAAATCTTCAACATGGTTTTTGGAAAAAAGATGGCTCGTTTGCATCATTTGCAGTTTTTTTTTTAACTTACTCTGTACATGTAAGAATTTAATGTGTGTTGCAGAAGCCACTGCTAAAATTGTATTGGCTTTAAAAAATCTTGGAATTTTTTTTATGCCCAGGCCAAGAAAGTGTAGTGATAAATTGTTGAGAATACCCGTATTTGTAACCAGAGAGTGTGTACATGTGGCAGCAATTACTCATATTTGTGATGCGATCAAGCTAAATTAGTCGTTTGCCGGGAATTTTCATTTGGAGATTCAGGCCAAAATAGGGCCACTTCATCACATCACTTCATCACATTTCTCAGTGTTCCGACTTCCATAATTTTTTGAACTAGAGATGGTATCAGCATGCGGTTTTCACAGCAGTAATGCTTAGATTGTGCTCTTTTCAAATCGGTTAAAAAAAAAAAAGTGACCTGGGTCGACAAACAACTAATTTAGCTTGATCGCATCACATTTGTTCAGCTTACGTTTTTGCAGAGTGGTTGAGATCAAAGAGGGATGTTTTTCTGCACTAAATAAACAGCGTTGTAATTGGGTTGAAAACAAGTCAAATCACAAGTCAAATCACAAGTTCGGTCACAAGTTGTGGAGGATGAACAGTGACAAAGGAATCCCCTTGTCGTCGTTCATTTGAATAGCTTGCGACTTGACTTGAGACTGTATAAAGCCTAATTTCCAGATCGACATAAGAAACGCAGAGAGCAACGCAAACAAGACCCAAATTGCAACCCAGACATATGGAAACATTTCATCCAGAAATAACACCGAAAACCAAGACAGACGTAAACTATCTGGCAGACGATCGGCAAAGTTGAACCCGGTTCAACTTTGCCGATGGTTCCAAGCACTGTCTGCACAGTCTGCATAAGCTTAATGTCGACATGGAAACTAGGCTTTACTTGTGATTGCTTGGGCCATGTGATTGAATCAATTACAAGTCTACAAATAAAAATTAGACTACAGGAAATATTTCATGTGTATAAAATGCCAAACTTGAAAAAAAAAAAAAAAAAAACTTTTGAAATCTTAGGCCCATTATTTATCTGCCACTGCGCTGAGGGACCCACAGGTTTGTTAGCTGGGCAGTTGATTTCATAGTGCAGAACAGCAAGGACACAAATTCCTTATTTTTGTAATCAGTGAAATTTATCACATCGGCAGGGAACTTAAGAATTTTATCGGACAATTTCCTCATTGATAGTCTGAATGATTTTAGTTTCATTGTCAGTATATTGTAGGAAATTTGGCGTCCTGGTTTTTTTTTCATGCGAGAGCTGACACTGTAAACCAACCAAAAATATGGAATAACATTTCGACAGGGATCCTGACAATTTTTTTGTTTTATGTTTTGCAAATTGATCCTTGTTATGGGAAAGAAATTGATGAGTTGGTGGTTCATATGGGAGGATATTTAATAATTTAAGGAAAATTCAAGAAGTCAACTTCGAAAAAGAATTTTAGTTTTCACTTCTTTTTTTGTCATATTCAATTTCTTCATATTTTGGTTTTGCGTAGGTAAACCACCATCGGCTGTGCATTTGTATTTTTTTGGTTGATATTTTATTTGTTACCTGATTTTACATAATTACAGGCAATTTTGTTTTATTTACTTTGGTTTTCCTGACATCGTTAGTAAATAGAAGTAACGCATCCGTCTCTTTTATTTGGATGTTTTACTTAAATCCTGACAAATCGAACTAAATAATTATTTAATTTTTTTAAACTGTGCAAATAGTCTTTTATTTTCTGTCACTTTATTTTGTTTGTGATTTACATGTATTATTGAAACGAAAAGGTCACTTTTGAACCACAATTGCTTGTAATTTGACACCTGAGTGATGACATCATCATGACGTCACACTTGTATGCACAGCTGTGTGTCAGGGTTGATGATCATACCAAGTTTGAAGTTCATGCGTTCCGTTTGAAAGAAAAGCCGCTGAGAATTATTGTCAAGAAAAAACACACACACACACACAAGTGTGTATTTGCCTGCAATCGGGGACCCTCTATTGTCCCTCTTCTGTTTGTACTTAAACGTTTTGGAAGACCTCCCATATGTTTTGTACACGAATCCAAATCGGGGACCTCTCGGGAATTGGGGACCCTATTGTCCTCTATTGTTCAACGTCCCCTATTGAATGCAGAAACAAACTCAAGAAGATTTGCACAGCTCTCTGTGTGTATCCATGCTTATCCAGGACAAATTTGTGGATGTTCATCCTATGGGCTCCGTGCGCAAGCCAGAGGGGGCGCTATTTGACCGCTTTCGAAAGCCCCCTGGATGGAACACACAGCGTGGGCATCCTGGTTCGAGCGCGCAGAACGCACGACTCGTTTTATTTTGAATGTGCACAAAGCCGTTGCGTCTTCATAGGTCTCTCTCAGTGGTCTCCCCAACTCTCCCATTCTTATCGTTGAGGGGGTACTTGTGCACAGAGATTATACAGGGCTGATGTTTGACTATACTGTCATGACTGTTGCATCTATGCATATTAATACTATGAGACTGCAGCAGAATTCTAAATATTTTTTGTTGCCCATTATGTTAACAGAAAGTGCAAATCTGAAATACATAGGCCTACATGTACTCCTAGTTTATGTAGATTATGTAGCCACACTCTGTATTGCATGTAGGTAATTGGTATCGGACAAAACTTGCCGGTTATCCTTCGCCCAAATTGTCAAGTTGAAATTTCCAGTATAGCATCTTATAATTTGATTTCTTATGAGCATATATGTGTATCTGTACTTACGGTTAGCTTTGTATATTGTACTTCACTCAAACCCATCTTCTTGCGGCATTTATTAAATACATGTTCCTGCAGGATATATAAAAAGGAAGAGGAAGTAATTAATGTAAAGGCTTGGTGCTGCTGAAATGTTAACAAAATGTACTTTTTGCATTCCATACGGTGTTGCCACATGGTCAAATTGTCAATTTATACATTTGTGTTCTGGTAGAAACTGTACGCACCATAGTCATTTCTCATTTGTTTATTTCTAAATTTGAGTATGTCTCTCTTCTCAATTGTTAGTGTAGGAAGGCCAAGTCTTCAGGGAAAATAACTTGGGATTGAACAAATTTGGGTAGGAATTTAGGTACTTTTTGTTGTTATTTAATATATTATTTTAGTAAAGACTTTCAACGAACCCCATAAAATATATACTTTATAATTTTAGCCATACATTTCCGTATCAGTAGGCAAGCCCTGAATTAGAAGTAGTTTGATTGGTACAAATTTTTGTCTTTAATTTGGAAAAAAAATGGCAATAATTTTGTGCTGTAAATTTAAATGAGGTGAACAAAAAATGTAAGTACATACGCAACTATTACAGCTGATATGAAATCAAATATTTAGCCATATTATTCTCCCACCTTGTACAAAAGCTGTATTATTTTCAAATGTTTATGTTGCATATGTACTTCTGTTTTGTTGTTAAACATACTTCAGTGAAGAATGTTTTGTTGTAAGCCAAATTGTCTCAACATGCTCACAGGTGTTTTTTTTTTTTTTTTCTGTTTTAACGTAGTATTAACAAAAAAGTATAGACAAGTTTGGGCACGTGGTCGGACTGGTCGCTGTACAGTGTACACTCATGAGGCCCCCTTTAATGGAGAAACCATTGTGCATGGTATTGTACAAAGCAACTGCCCCGTGATGGATTATCTTAACAATAGCTAGCACTGTGCTTGCGCCATTGAAAGGGGCCTCCGTGACAGAACTGATCATGCCGAGATTGTTCTAAAGGAAGCAACGGCCGCGGAACAGTTTTGAAAGTGTGGGCAAAGCACCGCCAGTGCTGGCCGGCCGTTGCAAAATAAAAAAAAAAAGAGGGGGGGGGGGAGGGTTCGGAGCCTACATACAACAGCAGTGTATGTAGGCCTTTCCGATGATGGATCATTTGATCATTCGATCCAGGTAATTCATGAGAATACTAGACGGAAAACACTGTTGTTTTGATCTACTTATGCATATCACTGTGGAACAAAAGTATGCACCTCAAAGATGACTGCAATAATGCAAAGTCCCTGCCTAGTCTACACTAGTCTATGATTTGTCTCTAGTCTGCACTTGTCCTTGAACTATAGATTTTGTAACAACATGCATCAAGGCAAAACATGAATGTAAAAAAAACCCTCTGATTTTTTTTGTTTTTTGAACATGATTTTCTCTTTTTTTGGCATTTTATTTTGGTTCCAAATCACAGTCTGAAGTTTTATGTAGAAAATGTCCATATTATTTTTGTGCAGTATATGAGCTGTTTTTGGTCACCAATTTAAACATTTTTGCAATGGTAAATTGAAAAAAGTTTTGTAAATAAAATTGTGTTATGGTCAAGTGTGTTTTCCTACCTTCTGTGGTG